AATGACATGCATTCATCCTTAAAAAGAACACTTCAAGATCTACCTGGAAGTACAGTGCTGTCTGACAGGATAAGATCAACAGGACTACCAGGAGGACCATCTAATACCACTATTATTCAAATTTGCATACCAGCCACTAAAGCCAGTGATGGTGACATTGAAGAGTTCTACCTACTACTGCAGTCTGAAATTGATCAAACGTGTATTGATAATTGTTGGTGATTGGAATGCAAAAGCTAGAAAAAAAGAGGAAGGATCAGCAGTTGGAAAATACAGCCTTGATTACAGAAATGATGCTGGAGATTGCACAATAGAATTTTGTGAGACCAATGACTTCTTCATGCAAATACCTTTTCTAAACACCATAAAAGACAACTATATACACAGACCTCACTAGATGGACTACAGAGAAATCAAATTGTCTACATCCATGGAAAGAGATGGTAGAAAAGCTCAATATCATCAGTCAAAACATGGCCAGGGCAGACTGTGGAATAGACCATAAATAATTGCTTATATGAAAGTTCAGGATGAAGCTGAAGAAAACTAAAACAAGTAAACAGGGCCAAAGCATGACCTTGAATATATTCTACCCAAATTCAGAGATCATCTCAAGATCAGATCTGCTGCATTAGACACTAATGACTGAAGACCAGAAGAGTAGTGGAAAGACATCAAAAGCATCATACAGGAAGAAAGCAAAAGTTAATTAAGAAGACAAAAATGACCAAAATGGATGTCAGAGGAGACTCTGAAATTTGTTCTTGAGCATAGAGATTCTAATGTAAATGGAAGAAATGAGGAAGCAAAAGAGTTGAGCATAAAATTTCAAAAAGCAGTTTGAGAAGAGCGAGTCAAATATTACAGTGACATGTGCAAAGACCTGAAGTTAGAATACGAAAAGGGAAGAACGTGCTCAGCATTTCTCTCAAGCTGAAAGAAATGAAAGAAAATTCAAGCCTCGAGTTTCAATAGTGAAGGATTCTATGTGACAACTATTAAAGATGGGTGGAATATATAGTCACTGTATCAAAAAAGACATAGACAATTTTCAACCATTTCAAGGGTAGCATATGATCAAGAGCTAATGGTACTGAAAGAAGAAGTCCAAGATGCACTGAAAGCATTGACAAAGAACAAGGCTCCAGGAACTGATGGAATATAAATTGAAATATTTCAACAAACTGAGGCATCATTAGAG